TATGTAATATTTAGAATGTATATATAAATAATTTATAAAATAGTTAATAAATGTTGTAGTAGGGACCACTTTTAAAAGTGTAGGTGACGTGACACAGTTGAAAGTGTTGTAGGTAAATTACAGGTGTGTGGAAGATAATTGCAAAAGCTGATGTGGCACAATTGAAAGTGTAAATGGATTGTAGGGATGTGGATGGTCTAAGGGTCGTGCCCCTACTTAGAGATTTTATGTATCGGGACAATCTAGACTAATTATAGGATGCTAGAAACATTCTTGAAATTACTCTCCAACTTGGTGGAATTTCACCAAGTATAATTCTAAGGTAGTGTAATCAGAGCTCTGAGTTATAGCAGAATTTTCTAAGTGTTAAGGATCAGAACTCTGACCCTCTTGGTCAGAGCTCTGAGTTGTTTCGTGGTGCTTCTAACTCAGATCTTCTAAGTTAGTTGTAACTGTCCTTTAAAGGTTATAATTGTCATACCGTTAAATTCTAACCGTTCATAAACCATAAATTTCTCATATAAATTAATATATAAAACATGTTCTGGTATATATATGAACTTTGTCATGAAGTTTTTGGATTATGACAATACTAACTTCATGCTAATTAATCCAAGATCCTATATTTTGTTATGAGGCTTCACCAATCAACAACCCACATGCTTACACACACTAATTAATACAAAGAGTAACTAGAAATACATAACATGAAGAGTAAATTGTGTTTTTAGTTTCTTAGAAAAATATTTTTTATTTTTATAATTCATGACCTTAATTCATTTCTATTTTTTATTTTTATAATTCATTACCTTAATTCATTTCTATTTTTTATTTTTATAATTCATTTCTATTTTAGTCATTCATATCTAAAGTAGTGTTTTGGCCTTGAAGACAAAAATGTCGTGGTCTCGCCCTACATGAGTATTTTAGTAAAATAAATGTCTATTTTTAAATGTAAATGTCTATATTTCTATTCTACTCTTAATTATGTGACGTAGAAAGTTTTTCACTATATAATGAAGGGTAAAATTGTCATTTTATTAATTAAAAAGTGTGATAATTATATATTTCTAAAATTGTATGTCATTTTTATTGTAGACATTTATTTTGGAAATGAAGAGGTAATTTTGAATATACTTTTTATCAAAATAAAAATTAACTACAGAGTGTAAATGTTTACATTACTATTTTAGTTTATCTCAAAATAAGTGTCTAATTTCAAAAGTAATTGTCTACTTTATCGTTAATTATGTGATGAAGAAAAGTTCTCGCTCTCTAATTAAGAGTAAAATTATCATTTTATTAATTAAAAAATATAATAATTAAACAATTATAAAACCATATACTGTTTTTATTATGAACATTTATTTTAACTAGTTGTGTACCTGTGCAATGCAGCGGGAGCCGTGAATTTTAAGGATTTTGAAGTTTCACTGGTTTTATTAGAGAAGATTTAACGATAATATAAGTTACACTTGGTTTTTACATATTAATACAATTTGAATAAATAAATATTATAGTTCCAATTACAGTCTATCGATGAAAAAAATTATATAACAGTTTAAAATCCAATATATTTAAAATCCAACATATTTAAACGACTCCACAAATGTGTTCAATTTACACTAAGAACAAAGAATCAAGAGATCGAGAGAGAAACTGAGAGTTCTAAAGCAATTGAATGAGAGATGAATGAGAGAACTTTTAATAACTCATGGTGAATATCAGTTTGAATCTCACCTTGGGGATGTGGAGAAGACATAGAAGTACGAGAGAGTGAAAACATGAATGAAAGGTGTCAAAAGTATCTTGGGAACATGAAAAGAAAATGTAATAATGTGCATTGGTAACTTGTACTATGTGTTATTTTAATTGTAAGTTAAGAGATTTTAAGACTAAATACATAAAGTAGTAATACTTAATGCATTATGAGTTGTTTTTAAGACTTTATGTATACATGTATAGTATTTTATGCATTAAAAATTATTTTTAAGACTTTTAATAAATCTGGTTCATAAGGTGATATAGATACATAAAAAATAATAAATTTAAATATAATTAGATTTTTTCAGTTACAAAACTACAAAAAGATTAGTTCACAGAGAAAGCTGGGGCCACACTCAAACTCAAACAAGGGGGAAGCAATAGAGTACTCGCTACGGTTCAGATTCCAATTCCATACTCCCCCTATAAATTAATTCCATTCCCATTTCCATTTCCCATTCCACTTCCAATCATTCCATCAAACCACACCTAAACGTCTTCCTTCTCCTATGGCTGACGACTTCCAGGAATCCGAGGTGTTCTTCGAAAGTAATGCTGCCGGAATCAGAATCGAAGACAATTACACCAATAATCAACAGTTTAGATTCCGTGATTCAAAGAGGAAAAAGAAGCAATCGGAGAAGAAGAACAACAAGAAGTCGGTTCCGGTGGATATACCGGAGAACTTCTCAATGAAGTCTTGGTATCAGTGTTACGAAGAAGATGGAGAGATAGTTCCACCGCATGTGGTGGTAGGACGGCGGCGAGTTGCCGGAGAAATGGCGTGTTCGGTTTGCTCCGGAAACGGAAGGACATTGAAAGGAAGGGATTTGAGTCAAGTCAGGAATTCAATTCTTAAGATGACGGGGTTCCTTGAAACGTAACGGAAACAGTGAAGAGTGAATTCAAGTTTTTGGAAATAAATATTTCCATTTTAATTCGATTTAATTTCATTTTTTTTCTCTTAAATTCTTATTTTATGAAATAAATATTTCCATTTTAATTCGATTTAATTTTAATTTTTTCTCTTAAATTCTTACTTTATGACGCATTTAATGATTTTTTTAATGTCAATCGAATATATTTGGGGTTTTTTTTTAATTATTGTGTTTGACTCGTATCAAGTTGTATGTTGTTTCAAGGCATTTTAATATTCATTAATTTATATTTTTACGAAATCAATACTATATTATAAAGTATTTGATGAAATTTTTTAAAAATTAATTTTTATGCATTATATACTGTTTATTAATATATATTATTTAAAACTCGAGATCATAAATAAATTATATGTAAGTATAACTTATTAAAGGCTCATTTTTAAATTCGTTTAACTAACTTCAGATAACATAATCTAGAGATAAACATTTTATTTTAAATATAAAATATCTAAAAAGTAATTAAGATAATCTTTAAGTTCATACTTATATTATTAAACCAAAGATAAATTATTTCGTTATTAAATTCATATTAAACTATAATAAAAAATTAATTGAAAAATTACATAAAAACGAGAAATTTTAAATAAATATTAATATATTTTTTCAATTTTTACGATATTCTCAATATTTTACTCAAAAATAAAAACATCAGCGAATTCTCAAAACCACATAGAAACGAAATATATCAACAGAAACAAAGAATAAAACGAAACATTAAAATCAAGACATATCTTATTACATTACGCGAATACCCTTTTAATAATCTTTAATTTTATGAATTATGATATATCAACTTCACGTATGTGAAAACTGTTTATTCATCAATAATTTAGTTGTGTTTGATAAAAACTATTTAATAAATGAGACATTAAAAAAACGGGACACGTAGTTTGTATGTTTGTAATGATTTTGCCCCTCATCTGAGCTGTTTTCATTAACGTTAAGAACATTTTTATCTTACTTTTTTTGTTGTTTCCTAACCAAAAATAAGGACCAAACACATAATTGAATCTAAAAATAAAAAAGCTCTTTATATGTTTAATCATTTTAAAATGGCAATCATATAGAAACAATATAAAATTTATAAATAATGAAAACCAATTTTTATGTGAAAATAAGTAGTTATACATGGAACACAAACTTATGTTCACAAAAACTACAAAACATATGATATAATATGAATCATAGTTTATAAATCAAACTAATTGGTTGGTTTTCATAGGCTTGGTTTCATGTATTGTTTCAACTATTAAACAATACGTGAAATTGGTTCTCATAGTTTCTTATTTTCAGATGTTTTTTATATGTTTTGCAGTATATAGATATATATACTATACACACACAACACTATATGTATATATATATAGAGAGAGAGAAAGAGAGAGAGAGAGAGAATGAAACGAAAAGACAATCAATTGCGAGAAGGAAAAAAGTTTCAAGATCACATATGATTACAAAGTAGATCACATATGATACAACATGTCCAAAAGGACACGGGCGACTTGGTCAACGCGACCAAGGGTCATGGGAAAGGTTGCCCACTCTATGGTTGGTGAACGGAACGTTTTTGTATCTCATGTGAGTTCTCGCTTTTTCATAAATTGTATGTCTTCTTGTTTGAATACACACATACCAAACACATATATGTGTGTGTATACCACAGTCACAACTCACAACTCACAACTCCCAACCTCGGCGAACACCACCCTGACGTCCATCCACCACCTTTTTTCTCTGCGATACAAACAAAGAAACACACACACACACACGGTTGTGATTGTGTATATGGCCCCCCTTATCAGTTTAGTGGGTGTGTATATGTTTAACAATGCTTGTATATATTTTTTTTTGTGTGCGTGGGTGGGTGATGGAAGATGAAACAGATGGACTATTTTCGGATTTGGATGCGTTCAGTTTAGGTGTAATCAGATGCTTTTGAAAATACATTTACTAAAATTTGAAATTTTCAAACCATACATCCTTAAATATTCATAAACTCATGAATCTAGTTCTTAAATCAAAGAGTATTTTTTTTTCCATTAAATTTGCTCATATTAATATTCTCATTCCTAAATTGCTTTTATTGTCTCATGATGTTCAATTAATTAAAACTTGAACAACATATATATTGGTACATATTTGAATGTATAAATATGTAATTGAATTTTTTTTTTCTACTATAGACAACTAAAAGAAGTTGTAGTATCTATTTCTCATGATAAAATACATAGTAAAATTACGTGTTTTATCCCTTTGGTTTGCAAGTTTTTTTTACACGAATTGGTGGTTAGACTTCATTTGTTATGTAAATTATTTGATGTGATGGACTTTTTCTCGGATTTGGTCATTTGCTCTGACGTCTGTTTACCAAGTCTGTTAAATTCAAGAGCAAAATGGTCTTATTGCATCATAGAATCAACATTTTCATCGGAGAAGAAAGAATTTACCAGAATTGTCGGTTTTATTTTATTGGAGAAGATGACTTAGCTGGAATACATGGTTTCATCAATAAAATAATAATAATAATAATAATAATAATAATAATAATAATAATAATAATAATAATAATAATAATAATAATAATAATAATAATAATAATAATAATAATAATAATAATAATAATAATAATAATAATAATAATAATAATAATAAAAAGAAATGGTATACAAGGAAAATTAGTTAAAGGGGTGTTTGAGATTGCTTATAAAAACAACTTATTGACTTATTCCGATGTGGCATCGGTAATAAACATTTTTAAGTGTTTGGATAAACAACTTATACCAGTGCCAAACCGGTAATAAAGAATTTTTGAAGAAGTTAAACCCTTCTAACTTATAATAAGTTGATAAGTACTTTTGTAAAAAAACTTAAGTTATTTCAAATAAGCAATTCCAAACACCACCATTTTGTTTCATACTTGACAAAAGTCATGAACATGTTAGGGCAAATGATGAAATTCGTGAAAAAATACATACCATCAGATAATCTACATAATAAATAAAGTCTAGGATGAAGTTCACATGACCTCAAGAACCAAAGGTGTAATTTATTGTATAATGTTTAATTAAAAACTATAGAGTAAATTATGTTTTTAGTCCCTATGATTTGTTAAAATTTTTGTAACTTTCATTCTTGTAATTTTGAAATTGTGGTTTTTGTTTTTATAGTTTGCAATTTATTGTTATTTTTTTTATTATGCTAACTCATACTTTTAAATGTGAGGGACGAAAACAAACAGACAATTGTTAACTATATGGACTAAAACAACAATAAATTGTAAATTACAACAACGAAACCCATAATAAATTATAAATCACCTAAATAAAAATCGTAATTTCAAAAACATATGAACGAAAATAACAGTTTTAACAAACATGGACAAAAACGTAATTTACTTAAAGAAGATATATATCAAATAATTGGCCACCTTTGGCTCCATCATCAACATTTATAAATAGGGCTGTAAGTGGGTTGGGTTGGGCGGTTTATAACATTTTTACAACTCAACCCAATTATAGTGGTTTGAAAAAATTTAAATCCAACCCAACCCATTCAAAAATATAACCAACCCAATCTTTGCAGGTTGAGGCGGGTTGAGTTGGATTGACGGGTTAGTAGCTACATAAATTTGACGAATGAAATAATTCATAAAACTTATGTTTATAGACTATACTATAAAACATCCTATCTAAAAAGATTACAATGGGTTTATAGGGCGTTTTTTTGACGTTTCAACAAGTGTTTTAGAATGATATTTAAATAAAATGTCGTATTAGTTATTTTATATAAACATTTTGAGAAGTGTCCCGTAAACTCATTTATTTATAGGACTTCTATGTTCATATGACACTTTTTTCAAGTCGTGTCGTATAAAATAACTAATATGACACTTTATTTTAAAAATGTCATAGAATTTGTTAAGACGTACAAAATCATCGTGTAAACATATTGTAACTCTTTTAGATAAAACATTTTTCTTGTTTTGTCCTACAAAATATCATATTAGAACGCTTAGACATTTAGGCATCCTATAAGATCTAATGTTGTTATAGCAAAATATATAACTAAGCATTTTCTTTCCACTAAAGTACAACATAAAATGACGGAGTATTTAGATTGATGGATTCATCAACCAAATATCTATCAATATCATTCATATTTTCCAACATATCAATTTGTTGTTGCTACAAAAAAAAATCAATAATTTTCCTAATTTATTACATTATTTGTCATAATTCTTTGATCTAGAATCTCTTTTGGTAACCTATACGTTTAGCTAAACTGAAATAAAACATAATATCAATAAAAATTATATAAAATTTATACGTTATATATATACATAATAAACATATATAAATACAATTTTATAAAAAAATTATATTAGCGGCGGGTTGGGCCAATTTCAACCCTCCTAATTGGTGAGTTAGCGGTTGGATGAGTCGGGTTTTATTGGGTTGTTAACGGGTTGGGTTGAGCGAATTTCGCGGGTTGATAGTTTTTTTGCACATCCCTATTTTTAAATATTAAGGAAAAGTTCAAAAAAACTCAACCAACTTTCTCATTTTGAATGGTTTAGTTCTTAAACTTTTTTGAATGAAAAAACTATTAAACTTTCTTATTTTAAATGATTAAGTCTCTAAATTGTTTTTTAAATGAAAAGTCATTAAACTTTTTTTTTATTTTGAATGAAAAATCATTAAAATTTTCTCATTTTAAATTATTATGACCCTGGAATTATTTTTTTAATAAATAAACCGTCAAACTTTTGCTAGTCAGTTACATGCAACTTTTTTTAGGTAAAAAGCTGTAGGTAATCAATTTTAAAAGTGTGATGGTTTATTTATTAAAAAAATGTTCAGAAACTTAATCATTTAAAATAAAAAAGTTTAATAGTTTATTTTATTAAAAAAAAAGAGTTTTAAAGATTAAACTATTCAAAATGG